ACATATGAAATACGATGTATATCAACAACATTCATCAAAGTCTGTGACGAAGGTCCATATTTGTATTGCTGTACTTCAACATTCCTTCTATATCGTGTTTCACAAAACAAACAGTTTGATTTACTATCATCTAGTATTCTATTTTTAAGCTATGTTCCACAAACAAATTGATAAAAATTCTCGCATAGTTCAACCGATTGATTAAGATTATCGATTAGATAATCAACTGTCAAACAAAATAAAAGTTCTTTCTTTGTCTTTTAACACACTTGACACGATTCGATTTTATTAGAGAGTAGCTCTATAGATTCATTTTCGTGTGTATTCATCTTTCAATAAATGCACTTCTTGGTCTTTTCATTCTGTGCTGATCTGTTGTCTTCTCTTTTCTGTTTGTAACATCACATGGACCAAAATAACCGTTCTACAGTTTGGTGAAAGTCTTGTCAGGTCTTTTCTGCATGGCATGGCATACCATTCGAGAAGCTGAATCAGCAACACATTTCAAGGGCAAATTCACTGATTGTAAGCTCGAAGAAAAGGAAGGATCTATGCACAATGTCGGCAGATGTTCTACTGACTGCTATGCAAAGGGAAGGACACAACAGTCAAGAGAAGCGAGCTATGCGGCAGCAAAGAAAGTAAAAACCTTCTGTTCTAACTGTGATAAATTTTCTTGTCTTGATTGTTTTAACAAGTAGCATCATGCTATGGAATAAACGACTTAAAATAAGAACTGAAGGCAGAACATATAACACATTATGTTTTACCTGCTGCCTAAGAAAAAAGCGAAATAAAGTGCTTTCCTATACAGTTTCTCGTTAAAATATAGCATGGTCACCGGTGAACCACATGGTGACGAATGTGTTAATGAAGCCCCGTGTGAATCTGTCTATGATCCCATAAACCCATTCAAAGTTTAATTACTTTCTGGTTGGAGTGTGGGTGTGTGGGTGTCTTTTTCTGCCACTGACATTCACATCCACACCCACACCCACACCCAAACCCTAACTCACAGCTAAAAGATTCTCATCTTTAATCAAACATGCTTGGTATTCTAGTGGCTATATCTCAAAAGATCCTGGTCATTTTGAGAATGTACACGACGAATGTTTTTCTTTTGATGATGATTTGTGTTCTATGACAGCGTGCAGTGACTTCTCTTTTATTTACTGTAGTCATTGTCATCGTATTCTCTCCTTCAACCATTTTTTTGTAGATGATCATAAACATTAATAAAAAGACTTCTTCTTTGCTATGGAACAAGTAATGAGTTATTTCCATTCATATGAAAAGTGATGTAAGTTTTAAAACAATCCTTGTCAAAATGTTTTAAATATACATCAGACATTCAGTTGATGTTTTCTCTTCAATTATTCATGGCAAAATGAATAACAAAGTGCATTACGTAGAACTTTTTGACAACTATAAAACGTTATATGACTCGGCTCTAATCATCGTCATAGAAGAGAAAATCTTTAAGAAAAATAATGAAGGAAGAAATTCATACGCACAAATCTGTATAGCAAAATATGTGTCAAATTTTTGAAAACTGTTTTGCCTACAATCTTTTACTAAGGCTGTAAGAGCACCTAATTATTTCACACCTAAGGTAGGTATACTTCACTTAACAATCCTATACCATTTTCATTGAAATTTCCGGAACACACCTGGGGATCTTCCTTTATCAGAAATATTCCTAGTGCACCTGAAAGATTTCAATAGATCTATTTCATTTAATGATCAAGAGTTTAAGATTCTAAATAAATCGGATGTAGATTATCAAATCGATTCCGTTTTAAGGTGAAATTTATTATTCTGAAGAAGAAATCGAATAATATTAGATTAATATTCTATGATGAAACATATTTATTAAATATAAAAAAGGCAGATAGGCAAAACAATAATAATATAGAAAGGAATGAATATTTTTATTTTCTTAATCAATCTTCTTATTTGATTGTGAGATTTTTATTAAGATGAATAAAACCATATTTTAGGCATTCAATCGATGCTTGGACACCATTGGTATCTGATTTTACGATTAATCTAAAATTATTACCTTCTTCTAGTTTGAATTCTTTTAGATTCAAAAAATTTTCATTCAAAGATGACCAATCATCAATACATTTTAATAAATGATTTCGTTGATCATCAACTGTAAGAGTACAATACGTGTTAGCAGTTGATACAGCTGGCGTTGCTGATGGAATTGCAAATGAAGAATAATTGATCAGATGTTTTGGTGCAATTCGTTGTCCTTCTTTAAATATACGATCACTTGCTATCTTCAAGATATCGAGTAAACATTTAATTTTTGTGCGATTAGCACTTTTGACGATTAAATTATTATTATCGATCTTTAATAATAATTCTTGACGTAATAAATCAGTTTCAACATCATTGATTTTTAAAAATAAATGTTCGAAAACATCTGTTGTTAGCAAAAGAATTGGCACAGAATTTATTTCTTGTATTCGAAGTAAATTTGATAATGTTGAACCAACCAAATATTCAATGAAAGAGTAAAATTAATCATCAACTAATGTTAATGTTTCTACGGGTAATTTCCAAGGATGGAAATATAATTCTTGTAACTTTGGTACATTAGGCATGTTGTACATAGTTGATAGAGTAATAATGGTATATGTTCAACGTTTCACAAGATAGAAATGACTAAGGAATTTTAAATAAGATAGACGTGGAAACGAGGTAGAGAAAAGATAATCAAATCTAGGGATGTCTCGTGGTCAAATACATACACTATACAACATGGATAAAAACAGTACAACTAGAAAGAAAAGGGCTTGATAGTAACATATATTTTTCTCAATATTCTTTTCTTTCCTTCTCTTCACGTTCAACTTATTAATTTGGCCATTGAATGTTCGAATTCAATAAGATAACCATATGCTTCTACACTGCAAAAGCAACGATGTTCAACATAATGGACACAACTGAATATCATGACCGGAGAAGCGTATTTTCTTCTTTTCAGTCCAGATCATGTTCTGTATTCTGATAAACATTAAATACAAAGCAAAAGATCATCTTATTTCCATTTTCATCAGTGAAAACCAATGTTATCGGTCTCATTCAAATAAAGAGAAATACACTTTTATTCATAATACAATAGGTATTGATGTATCGAGTTTGATTCGGATAGGTTCTAGTTGATCGTCACTCAAAGTTATTTTTGTAAATTTGAACTTTATGCATAAAAAATGATAGGAAACGAAAGTTAAAAGGCATTAATTGCCTTCACCAGAATACTAATTTAATCTTTGCGAGATATGT